CTTCCTCCTCGCAGGATCGTGAATTCCAACATCTCGTGGTCACTGCAGCCGAGACTGCCCCCAACCTTCACATTTCCCACTGGACCATCTCTGTTGGTTAGTATCAGGTCTAGCAGCGCCCCTCCCCTTGTTGGCTCATCAACCACCTGCATCAAGAAGTTATCTGCAATGTTCTGCCGGAACCTCCTGCACTGTCTGCTCCTAGCTGTGTGATTATCCCAGCAGACATCAGGGTGGTTGAATTCCCCCATAAGGACCAGGGCCTGGGATTGTGAGGCTTCTTGCAGCTGCCTGTAGAAGGCCTCATCCACTTCCTCTCCCTGGTCAGGAGGCCTGTAGTAAACTCCCACGACTGTGTTGCCCCTGTTGTCCTGCCCTTTAATCCTCACCCACAGGCTCTCGACCCGCGCTTCGTCCTCCCCTACGCTGAGCTCCATACATTCCAGTTGCTCTCTCACGTAAAGAGCAACTCTGCCACCTTGCCTTCCTGGCCTGTCCTTCCTGAAAAGCCTAAAGCCATCCATGGCCACGTTCCAGTCATGAGAGCTGTCCCACCATGTCTCAGTAATTGCAATGAGATCATGGTCCTGCAAATGCACACGCATCTCCACTTCCCCTTGTTTATTCCCCATGCTGCTTGCGTTTACATAGAGGCATTTGAGTTGGGCACCCAACGTGCCTCTCTCTAGCTGGGGCAGCTGGAACTTGACCATGTGGGCCTTCTCTTATTTTCCCATCTCATCTCTTCAGGCTTAGGGCGCCCTACACAGGCTATGGAGTTAGGCAGCAAAGAGATCAAAGTTAGGCAGTAATAAGAGATCAGATCAGTAAGAACTATGACATTAGCAAAGGCACTTTTAAATAGCTGTAAAATATTATAATCAGCATAAAACTTTAATCCAAGCTATCCACCATTTGGCAGGGATTTTAGTATTAAGTACATCCTTATAAAATCACCTTTTAATGAGTTTGTAACTGAAGTTTAGATTTAACATTACCAGTAATACGAAGTGATCCTTCCACAATTTTTAGGAGACAGGGAAGACACCATACGCTTCTAATTACCACTTCCTTATATATAACATTGCAGTTTTCAGTTGCAATTAGAGTATTAAGTATTTCTATAGATATTAACAATAGAAAGAACTTTCTACATATCTGAGTGGTATGTATAAATAGGGTTACAAGGACTTAGAAGTATCTCAATCCTCTATTATTATTTTATATCTTAAACAAAAAAAATTATAAAACACTTCACAGTTTTCCTATAATTGAAGAGTGTGTCATTGAAGTATGACATTATAGGATTATTAGCTTATAGAAATTTAACAGAAACAAGGGACTTGTTCACCCATATCAGACCAATATGATATTCTAGTGCTCTAACTCCAACCCTGGTCAGTCCTGGATGCTGTAGAGGAAAGTGCAAGAAAATCTGGAAGGAATAATTATGCAATAGCTTGTTTGTTTCTTTCTTAAAAATGAATCCTAGAAAGAAGTAAAAACTGGGATGGACTTCAGTGGCACTGTTGAGAAATGCAAAAATATAGGTTACATTTTGAAATCGGAGTGGAGAAGCTGCCACATTGGATTCTTCAATTTCTAATGATATCTTTTCACATAGCATTTACCAGTACAGACAGGTGGATTTACTATGATAAACTGCATCACTTTGGTTTGGATGTTGTCTAGCTTCCTCCAAAGTCCATTTTCATTTCTCAAGTTGCAGAATGATACGATCGTTTCAACAAAATACTATCTAGAAGCATAAGAAACGTAATTTGGAAATAAATCATATTTGCACTATTGCTTTTGAGAGCTACATTGCTCTTTATATTAGGTTAGTAAACCTTTCAGGGTCCAAAGCGTTAAAAGTTAATTTGCACTAATTTCAGCTGAACTTTACAGATAAAGCTAAGGAGGGAAAAAATGACCGAATTGCTCAGTGATTTCTTTCTAACCTTTCAAATTTGGTATTGACATCTTTTCCACACAAAGAAGTTTCAGATCTCTTTAGAATTCGTAATAATGCAAACGTGAAGACAGTGAGCTCAAGGGGTTAATTACGCATTGCAGAAGAAACAGTATTTTCTTTTACCTGTTGCACTTTGTTGACTTACAGTTTAATAGCCTTATGTTCCTGTAATTTAAAAGATACTCTGAAAACCAGTTAGGGTTGCTAAGGGACAATCATAAAATTCAAGCCCACGAACCATAAGTACAATATAAAGCCATATAACTATATACATAAATTACTCACACAATACCCACTATCTTTTCCCTCAGCAAATCAACCATACTAAAATCACTGTAGACACACAAACATATTTCTTCCATTTCTATAACCTAATCTGTCCTCTTTCTGAACTTTGTAGCCAACTACTTTTTGCTCACTCTTTTTTTTAATTGTTTTTTTTTTTGGGGGGGGGCAGGGGAAAGTGAGAGGGAGTGGAGGAAGAGAAGGAGAAAGTGGTGTCAAAGTTTCAATATTAGGCATTCTGGTCCATCTGTATCAGTATGCAAACTTAAGCTTTTTGCACTTAAGTGCCTTTAGCTGTGGTTAAGCCTGTTTTTATTTATCTTCTTGAAACCACAATAACCTCTTGTAAAATCCTCTACTCTCAGTCTGCCCTTACTACATAAACAAGTCCCTTTTTGTATCTAAAAGAAAAGATTATCACCAGAAATAAACACTGACATTACATTTACTCTTTTGGTTGCTAGCATACACCACGAAACAGTACTGACCAAGTATGAAAAGACCACCCTGTTTTATATCACATTACCTCCTCTTTTCTGTTTCTATAACACAAATGCTTTAAAAACAGAAGTAATAAATAAATAAATAAATAAAACCTTTAATGGTTCCATGGTAAACTCATACAGTTCGTTTTCAAAGGTTCTACTTTATTACACCATACTGTATATTCTGACTTTCAACATACTGCAAACTATATGCTTTCATGAACATTCCTCATTGTATTAGCAAACTCTGAACAAGTAGAGCTATTCAATCCAAAATAGTGAATTATATCTTTTTAAAAATAGGATACAAAGCTGCACATGCAACATGCTTTTAAAGCTACCCACATGCAATGTTACAGCACACCACGGAATAAAGGCAATCCTACCTGTGGTGGACACTATATTCTCTGCGCTTTCGCTGCAAAGCTGTGACAGGAGACTTGTCTTGCCGGAGCCAGTGAGGCCTATGCAAACCAAGTCATATTCAGGTCGTGGTGGTGGTGGTCCCTTGCAGCAAAGTGCTCTAAAACACTGTCAGGAAGAAAAAATAAATAAATAAAGGAAGATGTGGGTTTTTTTGCCTATCTTTTGCTAACAAGATTCTGAAAGTCAAGTTGACAAATTTAAAGGTGCTGGAGAAAAACAAATTATCATTCCAATTTATTATTTTAGTACTATCAACAACTAACAGCAAGATCAGCGCAACCAGAATTCAGAACGGTTTTATAAGACAACATACATATATATTTATAACTTTTCATCTAAGCCTTATATAACTGGATTGAGTAAAGCAGCTTAGATTTTCTGAAAAGCATAACTAGCACACATATGGTGAGAGAGGTGCCTGCTCTACTCGTTCAGGTGGTTGGGTATTTCCTATGTCTGCTTCCAGAAGCAGAAAACCCCTATGCTAGTCTAAGGCAACACCTATTCTGAGCATCAAAGCAGCTTCTGAACATTTGCTGGCAAGCAAGGAACAGAGAACTTTGCTCCACTGATTTGAGCCACCTTCCCAGGTTTGTTCCATGTTCTGAAAGAACACCTCATCCTACCTTATTAACACCAACTGCTAAGAGTACAGCTTTTAAAGAAATGTATTTTGTTGGACATAGCTTTAGTCATAAAAATGGAGGTACCATTGCACTATGTTTCTTGCTGTTCCCTAGAGAAGTATAAATTAATCACGATATAAAGCATAAAAAATCACATACACAAAACCTTCTTTAGAGTTATGCTCATGTCTCTTAAAAGTACAGCCAAAATAGGCCAAGCCCACCCAGCAGGTCCCTTAAGTCCTTAGGGAGGTTCAGTAGACCCTTCTTTGCAAGTTATACTGAAAATTTTTATATGGAAATGTAGAAGATTACCATTTAGGGAAAGCTAGCAACTTCACATTTGAAATATGGAGTTCAATCAGGTGCTAAAGTCTGTAAGATATATACATATATGTGTATGGAATGAAATGTATGTGCATATATCTGTATACAAAAAATATACATGCTGCACCTACCCAATATCTGCTACCTTCACATACCAATAATAAATCTGTTGTTACAAGGAAAAGATGACATACTTGTGCACCCTTTCTCACCCATACACAGGCATATTCTGCATCTTTACATAGTGACAACTTCTAGAACCCCCAGGAATAGACATTTGAGTTTCCCCACCTAAACTGAAGGTGCTATTTAGATAATTTGGTCTGTCTTATCCATAAGCCAACAAGAGCAGTGGGTAAAGAACACGAATCTTTGCATAACTACTTAGCTACTCTGGGGCTACTTGAGGAACAGAAAGACAGAACTGAAGTTAGCAAGACACAATCACCTGCCAAGAGCAGGTTCAGGGTCTGCAAGCAAGTCAGTAAAAGAGGACATGATTACAAGACAACAATTACTGTGACTACAGAACTTATACTGGATTTTTTTTTGGTTTCAAAGTTGTATCTGAACTGTAGGAGTGTTAACAGCATGACTGAGGTACTTCTGGAACAAATTCTTCATGTGCGATTCCCAGTTATTTTAAACACGTCAGAGACTGAGTTTACATGCATATACACCAATTTGAGCAGGTGATAATTTGTCCATCTGAAGACAGGTTTTGGCAATAATTCAGTCTTGTTAAATATTTTGTCTTGTCTATGCCTGCATAAAGATTAGAGTTCTGCAAAAAGGATAACATGCACAATTCCTGTGAAAAATGCCACATCCAAAAACTTGTTCTACTTCCCTATGCAATGCTGTTGAAACAGCACTTGAATTAAAAAAAAAACAAATGATAAGTTCAGGAAAAAAATAAGTCCATTAATACACTAGAAATAGGCAAAAGAAAATATTTAGGAGTTAAAGCATTTACTATAGCAGTTAAGCTGAACAAGGGCAATAAATATTAAAACTAAGACTTTTATTTCTGTTAAAACTTAACCCTGATTTCTTTTTCCAAAAATTTGAGCATTACTTTGTGTTCAGCTAAGTAAACATGCCTTCTAATTTTATTCACTGATGTCAGTTGCTATTTATCCCACAGACACAGACTCTACAAAACCATAGTAAATATCGGAAGTTCTGGTACTTAAGTGAGAAAGGACAATTAAGTTTATTGCACAATATTAGCTTCCTAAAACAAAGTTTCCACATAACGGAGATCAGACTGAAGGCCACTAAGAAAACAATAATTCTTCCAACTTCCTGCAAAACTCTGTGGCTTAATTTCAGGTCCCTTCCAGACAATTTTTGAAAGAGTCAATTTGTCAACCATCAGCACAGAATATCTCCAACAGGTATCACAACACACTCTTGAGGCCATATTGAGAAAGAAAGAAATGGATGTGCTGATGGTTGTCTGTGGACACTATGCCAGGCTTTGTGTAACCAGACAACCTTAAAAAAACAACCTTAATCTTTAACAACCTTAAAAAATATTAAGATGATCACTAATCCCCATTCTGTCAGGGACCATCACCCTTTATATGCCATATAAAAAAGAAGGCCTCCACAGACGGTCTTCATGAACTTAGGACTGGTGCCTCAAGTCTAACTTAGTCTGTTAGTGTCTTCATGTGCTGATGACTAAATGCATGATGTAAAATACAAGTCAATTTGCATGTCCAAAACCTCCACCCACTCACTCATTCTTCATCAGTAAACAGTCAGAAATGAGATTCAACGAATGCAGATCCACTAAAGCCAGGAAAATTGCTTGATCCAGACCACTTTCACATTTTATTCAGCACAATTCTACTATTTTCTACAACATGCACATTTTTGTCCCTGTGAATGGCTAGCTTCCATCAGTAGGTTTTCTTGTTATGCTAAAATGAAATTCAAGCTGATGTACGATATTTACCACTAGCTAGCCTGAAAAATCCTACAATTCCTTTATTATCAGCATGTTTTAGGGGAAACCTGTAATAATAAACTTTATAAACCTGTTCTGCCATCTGTCACGCTCAATGAACAACTCATCCATCAAAAACATCACTGTAAAAGCTGTATGATCACTGCCTTCCCACTCCTCAGCAGCTTAAAGTTACTTGGCCTCTAACAAAAACTGAAAATTCATCATGCTTTTTACTATGGACAGGAAACGCATCCCAAGGTATTTTGTACAGCATGGAGTAGAGTCGCAGTTTTGCTAAAGATGTCATCACGCTTTACAGTGCAATAGGAAAGATACTGAACTGCAAATAACATGTTTAAGTCATGTTAGTAACAAAAGAACTCATTCCTGAATTCCAAAACAACACACAAATACATCAAAATTATTAAGAGTTGGTCAGTCCACAGTTAGCTCATGTTTTGGGACTGCCAGGGTCATGCATTTCAGCCGTACTACCAGCAACAACAAAGCACATTTTGGAGCTCTATGGACAATCATACACTGTCTATAGATAAATTCTTATGAGAGATATGTCAAATAAAGTGTCAGTTCTCAAGCTTTCTGAGAACATTACTCTCAATTTGTTATAGTCTTTGAGTGCTGGGCAGAGGGGCAATCAGGGGTTAAATAATTTAAAAGCAAAATGAAAAGAAGAGCAGATTCGAAAGTACTGAAAATAAAACAATACAGTATCTTGAAAAAAATGTCTGCATTTGGCTAGATTTGCAAAAAGAGTGTGCATTTACTGAGTAAACTGGGAATAAAGTGCTGCAGCCTGCAGAAAAATGTACAATATTCAACACCACTATTACTTTTATTTTATGTGTGTATATCCATAATCATGTGCTAAGAGAAGAAGTTAGTCAGTCCCACTCCCACTTAGGGATTTCTATCCCAACCAGATTATTCCGGTTTTAGATGGATCAGCATTTGCGCTGACAGTCCTAGACAGTGGCGCTTTAAAGCCCTATGGAGGTTTCTTCTGGGAAAAGCATTAAGTCTATAGCAGGGGTGGCCAAACACTTCTGACATATGTGCCGCTCGGAGATCACAGATTGAAGCTCTGGGCAGCAAAGGTCCCTGAATTACTACTCTCTCCAGCACATTGCATGGCCTCAGGCCATTGAGTTTGTCTTCGTCTACTCATTACACTTCTCGCTTCACTCTTCTTTGGGGGGTGAAATACTCCATTATTTCTTCTTTGTTCTGCACCCATCTTCTGTCTGTTTCTTTTACTACTGCTGTTTAATAGGGACAAACAGATGTACGGGATGTCATGCTTAAACACACATACCCTTATGCAAAACGACTCTAATTTACTGCAACATAAATGCTAGCAAATCAAACATTCAGAAATCCTGAAATGCAGAGTTAGGGCTGAAGGCTCAATAAGAATTTTGCTCCCCTCCCCTTCTTTCTTACACTTTAAAATATGGCCTCCTTCTACATTTTACTTTTATTAAGACATCATTGAACAAATGGACTTCCAGTACCAAACAGATTTATATCCAAAGAACTGGATATCATCCAAAGTTATTAACAAAAATCTCAAGGAGATTATTAAAAAGGTGTCAAAGTTGCAAACGGCAGGCTCAATACTTCTAGTGTCATATGAGATCACAGAAGCACAAAGGAAGCTCAAACATTTAAGAGATAATGTGAAAGGTGGGAAAAAAAAAACACAAGGAGACAGTTACAATATTAAAGGAAACTAGTAGGGAAATCTGGGGAATAGCTAGACGCAATTCATAAAATGCATTCAAGGCATTTGAATGAAGTAATACACTGCTAATAGACAGAAAAATAAAAACATATATAGTAAACTAATTTTTAACTGTATGAAAACCTTAACAATAAAGCAGTACAATATACTGTATGCTTTTGTGTGAATTGCAGCTGTAGACACTTCAGTTTCTATACTGCTGCACAGGTAAAAAAGGGGGCATGGGGAGAAGAGGGAATAACTACCACACAACTAGTGATGCTGTTTCATGTTTTCAAAATGTAAGATTGAAAAGATGCATCATCTTATCTGAGTAACAATAAGGACAAAACAATAGATTTCCATTCTTTTTGTGTCTGCCAATACAAAAATATGCACACAGCCACTGCCATCCTTAAGTATTCTCTGGAACAGATAGAAGTACTAAAAA